CAGCCCCAAACCTCTGTACCCACAAGAGGCCACAGGAGCAAATTGCATTTTTGAATCTTAGAATCGGAAGAGTCACTAGAGATCTCCCATTCTGTGTCTCTCAAACTTCTTGTTTTTGTTTTTTAGCGTAGAATTCCTTTTGTCAGATGAGGTTTTATGCATAATAGCAAAATATAAGACGGGGGTCATGGCCAGCTTCTCTTCCTTGCCTTCCATGACAGACTTCTTAAAGCATATTGATCCAATCTTTCTTATTTTTAGAAGAAAAACTCAAATAATATGAATTCCTTCCTTTTTCTGTTTTTATAATGAAATCTTTATGAGAGCATTAAGAGGAGAACGAGGCGACTTCATTTGCTGTAACACCCATGCTGTCTGTGCTCGGTTAGCCAAAGGGGGTTTGGAGTGGTGCCCGTGAAAGTGAGACCCTAGCTGGGGTCTCCCCTCAGCTGTTGCCCCCCACTCACGTTCTCAGCACAAACAATGAGCCACTAACAAAGTAGCCCCAGATTGCAGGAACCTCGTGTTCTCATTTGTGTTTAATTTTTGTTTTAGTTTTCTTTCAGAGCGTTTTGTGGCCTCTGTGGTCACCCAGATGGTGGCCACAGTGCCGTCAGCTCAGGCTGTTGGTTTGCTTAGCCTCTGTGAGGCTGCACCAGCCTAAGCACTTTGCCGAGGAGGAATTTAACTCAACAGAGTTTCAGAACCGGCTTTTGTTACCTAGAGAGAAGATGATGTTTGTCCTTGCTGTCTACCCCCTGAATGGCCTTTCTTTTTTCCTGGAAGGACAAGGTATTCTACTGAGTGAGATCCCACAGGTTTTCAGAAATAGGAGGCTATTTCAAAACTATTTATTTTACTCCCACCACCACCTTTTAATGTAAGACCTAGCACACGTTTCCTGTATCCCAAGGGACACTGGTTATCATTTTAAAAAACAAACATAAGCTTAGGACCAGAGGAGAAAGCAGAGAGCCTCTTTCCATCTTTCCATCTGTCCCCAATACTTTAGGGTAGGATTCTGTCTTTAGGATGCTGGAAAGTACCACAGAGGGGGGAAATGGTTGGGCTGATCTGGTTGAATCACCGTTAGAGTCATTGCTACAGATTTCTCTATGCTGCCAGGGAACCCATTGGAGACACCTGTTTGAAAAGTGGTTTCCCTTCCGGCCTGGTACTATCAATTATCTTATTATACTTTTCAATATGAAAAATCCTGCTCTGTCTTCCTCCCTCATCCTCACACCATGGTTCTGCCCGAAGTCCAAGCCTGTAGCATTTGCTGTGAAGACGAACGTGAGCTACTGTGGCGCGTTGGATGAGGATGTGCCTGTTCCAAGCACGGCCATCTCCTTTGATGCCAAGGATTTTCTCCACATTAAAGAGGTAAATGTAGGATTCTCTGCAACTGCCGCAAGGCCAGAGCTCGAATCCACTCTGTGCCAAACTAGAGAGGAGCCCTGAGGAACTGCCAGTGTGTTACCTCATTTAATTTGGTGGGCTTTCCAAATCCATTCATTCTCACTGAGATTTAGAAGACTGACATCATCGCTTGCATTATCACACATTGAAAATATTGGATCACCGTCATCATAGGATGGATTTAAGACAGACCTGTGGTCTCCTGGTCACCTTTTAACCACCTTGTATGACTGCAGAGCCACAGATCTATGGATCCAACTTAGGGAAATGTGAATTTGGTGGCATGGTGCCCTACTCATGAGGCACCATTTACAAGGGATATTTTGATTACAAACATCTGTGCTGTAATCCTGTGGACCTTGACCTTGGAACTGACACTAGACATTATAATCATTAAAGTATTAAAGCTAAGAAGAGGGCAGAGGACTTTGGGGAAACAGAGAGCTTAAAGGATTGAGCAGTACAAGGAGGACTTGAGGCCTTGCAACTTGAAAGGTGGAATAATTACATCAAAAACTTCCGTTTAGTCACCCTAAATTGAAATCCTACTTCATCTCAGACATTGTGTGGGGCACTGAGAGATTGGAGATGAAGGCTCGCTGTCCCCACTGCCCGGGAGCTCCGAATCTGGTGGAAAAGACTAACAGGCACCTAGTTTCTGCCACGGATGACAAATTCTATTATAGTAAAACTGAATGGGTGTTGTGGGAGCCTGAAGAAGGAGCAGGAGGGACCACCTGGCTGGTGGGGAGGAGGATCACAGGGCCAGAGAGCTCTACAGAAGTGGTAAAGCCTGAGGACATTCAGGCTGGGTGGGATGGGGGTGGCATCTGGTGGAAGGGACAGCCAGGAGCATTGCAGCATGGCTGGAGGGCAGTAAGTAGGGAGTGGTGCAGGGGATGAGCCAGGTCTCAGAGGCAGGGGCCTGATAAGAAAAGACCTCTTTGGCCCTGACAAGAAAACTGGACTTTATCACCAGGCAGTGGGCTGAAGAGGAATTTTAAATAATGGACAGTTACAACCAGCCTTGGATCTTAGCATAATAACTCTGATGGTCCAGGGAGTATTGTAGAGGCTGAACTAAGGTTGCAGCAGAGAGGCTGGAGAAGGGGGGCAGCTTGGAGGGAGAATGACAAGGCAGACAGACAGGATTGGGAGACTTCACATGGGGAGGGGATATCAGAGAAAGCGAAATAGAAAGGAAGGATGGAGAAAGGCTTTACAGCTTGCTAGAAAGGGTAGATGGGCAGTGTCAGCTTTCAAAATAAAGAAGGCAGAGAGGGGAGATGCCTGTTGCAGGGTGGATGTGGTTATGAATTGGCTTTTAGGTACACTGTGTCTGGGGTACTCTGAAACCCCTGTGAAGACACTTAATAGGCCTTTGGGGCACCTGAGTGGCTTAGGTAATGATTTCACGGTTCGTGGGTTCGAGCCCCATGTCAGGCTCTGTGCTGACAGTTTGGAGACTGGCACCTGCTTTGGATTCTGTGTCTCCTTCTCTCTCTGTCCCTCCCTCCATCTCAAAAATAAGTAAACATGAATTTTTTTTTTAAAAGACATTTAATAGGACTTTACCCACATAATCTGAAGGCCAGAGGAGAGGAACTGCAATTTACTCTTCCTAAACGCTTTGAGTTGAAAAGGAGAATGCATTCTTGCCAGAGAAAAGTAACATAGAATTGAAGGAGTGTTTTTAAATTTGTATTTGTTTTTATTAAAAAAAAAATTTTTTTTACTTTTTTAAAAAACTAATTAACTTATTTATTGCTTAGTTTGCAACCAAGTTAGTTAGCATATAGTGCAACGATTCCAGGAGTAGATTCCTTAATGCCCCTTACCCATATAGCCCATCCCCCCTTCCACACCCCCTCCAATAACCCTCTGTTTGTTCTCCGTATTTAAGAGTTTCTTATGTTTTGTCCCCCTCCCTGTTTTTATATGATTTTTACTTCACTTCCCTTATGTTCATCTGTTTTGTATCTTAAAGTCCTCATATGAATGAAGTCACATTATATTTGTTTTCCTCTGACTAATTTCACTTAGCATAATATCGTCTAGTTCCATCCATGTAGTTGCAAATGACAAGATCTCATTTCTTTTAATTGTCGAGTAATATTCCATATTGTGTGTGTGTGTGTGTGTGTGTGTGTGTGTGTGTGTGTGTGTGTGT